GCTCCATTCTGCATGTGGCTATAGCTGCAGAAGCCCAAGGGCCTTAGCCATGTGAGTGAGAGTATGATGTCCTCTGCAGCTCCCCTCAGTAGTGATAGGACCATGAGATAACATTCTCGTTTTCCTCTCTCACTGTGGGCTGCTGAACACAGCCAAGACAATTGTTGAAGAGCCAGACATCGGCCAAGACAGAAGGAGCTCTGTGTGGCCACTGGGGTCAAAACAGGGAGTCCTGGGGTGTCCTGTGTGAGAGGGTGGCCATCAGTACCCAGAGGAGGAGGCAGAAGGTTCCCAAGGCCAAAGGGTGGCTTCTCGGCAAGGTAAGCTGGGAACCCGGATGGCCTCAGAACCAGGAGACAAACAGAATCCATCACAAAAGCAAGCGCTCCATCCCAACGCAGAGGGGAGGTGCTGCCAGAGGGTGATTGGAGGAACCTTAGCCCCAGGAATCAGGACAGATGTGGCCAGCAGGGAACCCACACTTTAATAATGGGGAAGGAGGGAGCTGTGGCATCACCTGGGGGCCTGGGGATGGGGTGGTGGCGCCTGGGGTGGAACCTCAGAGCAGCAGGCCCAACAGGAGGAGGGTGGTGAGAGCCACGGAGGGGAGGAGGGCTCCAGACCCCGTGCCCACTGTTGCCTGAGACGTGGTCAGGGGGTCTCTGGAAGCAGTGCCCGCTGTCGCCTGAGACGTGGACAGAGTGGCTCCGGACCCAGTGCCCGCGGTCGGCGGAGAGGCAGAGGTTAAGGTGCCATCTACACACTGAAACTCGCGGAAGATGACGCCTCCCACCGTCTGGTTTCCCACAGACAGGAACTGACAGGTGGAGCCACTTATGTGGGAGCAGCCTCTCAGCACTAGCCGATCAGACGCCGTGTCTGTGAGCACAGAGGACACAGTAAGGCTGCCCAGGGCCTGGCCTGCTCTGGGCCCCTCACCCAGAGCGCCGTGCAGCACAGCTCAGCCACCTGCAAGAGCTGTCTGCTCCTGAAACCACGCAGGGGTAGGAGCCCGGGATAGGGAGCTCCAAACATTAATGGCAGAGGGACTGTGGAGGTCTGGGACTCAGATCCTGACCTCCACTGGACCACAAAGGAAATCGAACCCCAGGAGGTGGAAGGCGAGCCTCAGCTCCAAGCGAGGGCCAGAGTGGGTCCTCAGACTCGCCGGCAGGTGAAGGAGCCAGGGACAGTTTCCGAAGGCAGTTCTCCACTCTAACCCAGGAGGAGGTCAGCCCCTAGACTCGCCACCCCTGCACCCCACCCTGCCTTCCAGGTTTTGCTGTCTTTGGGCTCCTCAATCATTCTCAAGACTTAGAGTCTTAACTTAGAGGCCTGAGAGCATGAGGTTTGAGAACTGGTGTGCATCTAATGCCCCTTCCACACAACTTGGTGGGCTTATAGCATCCTTACTAAGCAAAGGGGAAGTAGGATAAGAGTGCTGGCTTGTCACATTCATCTCTTACATATTTGATCTAAGTCAGATGATAAAGGGACCCAGACATGCCCTGAGGTGCCTGGCCTTGAAATGTTTATCTAAAGACAAGAGCACAGGGGGCAAAAGAAGGATCAGGGCTGGGAGGACACAGAAGGGCACCCACAGGCCAGCACTCACCCAGGTCATCGCTGGTGCTGCTGCAGCCCTGTCCTTGGCAGCACTGGCTTGCAAACATGAAGCTTTCACTGGACACATAGACAGTGAAGGTCATGTTTGTCTCTCCACTGCAGTTCTCCGCTGAGCAGAACATGTCCTGATATAATTGTGTGTTTCCCCCTATACAAAGGCAAGCAGCCTGTCAGACCTCAGTGAGGAGGGGCTGTGCAAGGGCAGGGACACAGTGTAGCCACTACTTTATCAAGGGCAAAAAATGTAGCCTCAGTTCAATGCAGTTAGACACACTGGAGAGAGCTCCTTCTTTCATCAGATTAGCAGAAATGCAGGTTAAACTCCAGGCAAACAGGATGGGGAGCCTGGAAACATGCTAACACCCCCAGACCCATAATCAGTCTTAACAGCTCTAAAACAGACATGACAGGCCTTACACCCATAGCACCTTCAGTGTGTTTCTGCCAAATATTGAACCTGAATCCAGTAAAACATCTAGCCAAAGTTATCTAATATGCCAGCCACTAGCTATATGTGCCTATTTAAGTGTAAATCTGATGATTAAAATTAAATAAAATTTAAAATTAAGCTCCTTAGTCATGCTAGCCATGTCTCAAATGCCCAATAGCCATAAGTAATTACCGTATATAACAGTGTTGATCAGACATTTCTGTTATTTGAGAAAGAATTACTGGATAGAACTAGTCTAGCTTAGAGAAAATACCAGGGACAGGAGAGCAAGTCAAATAACACCTCAAGGAAGCAACCAACCACTATGGGACAGCTGCAGGACAAATGGCAGTCTCTCCAACAAAACAACGGAATTGAACAGAAGAAGTAATAGGAGTTGTCATAAAACAAATTACACTCAATCGTCACGTAACAGAAAAATGCAGTTTGGGCATTTTATTTGGATACAAATCCCAAAACATCAACCGTATCCTGACATCTTTGAAACAATTAAGAAATTTTTAAGATGGCCTAAATATTAGAAGAAATTAAAGGAACAGTGGGGCTGGTTTCACGCCCATAGCACAGTGGTTATCGTGCCAGCCACATGCACTGACGTTGGTGGGTTAGAGCCCGACCCAGGCCAGCTAAACAGCAATGACAACTGCAACCAAAAAATTGGACAGGTGTTGTGGCAGGTGCCTGTAGTCCCAGCTACTTGGGAGGCTGAGGCAAGATAGTCACTGAAGCCCAAGAGTTTGAGGTTGCTTTAAGGTGGGACACCACGGCACTCTATCAAGAGCAACATAGTGAGACTCCATCACAAAAAAAAAAAAAAAAAAAAAAGAATAAAACAAAGGATCAGTGGGCTTACACCTGTAATTCTAGCACTTTGGAAGGTCAAAGTGGGAAGATTCCTTGAGCTTAGGAGTTCAAGACCAGCCTGAGCTAGAGCAACTACTACAAATAGAAAAATGTAGCCAGGTGTTGTGGTGAGGATCTGCAGTCCCAGGGACTTGGGAGGCTAAGGCAGGAGGACTTCTTGAGCCTAGGAGCTTAAGGCTGCTATGAGCTATGACACCATTGCACTTTACTCAGGGTGACAGAGTAAGAGTCTATCTCAAAAAGAAAAAAAAACTAAAGAATTAAAGTTAATTTTCTTATGTATAATAAGAGGCGCACCACACTATCTAGTACTACAACAAAAGAATACAAAAGACGAAATAAATAAAAAAAAAAAAAAAAAGTGTCCCACACAGAAGGAGGCTGAGAAACCCAATATCAAAGGACCAGCCCCTGATGAGGACCTTCTTGCTGCATGGTCCCATGGAGGAAAGGCAAGAGAGGACAAGGGCAAGGAAGGACAGAGGGCACCAGACTCACTTTCACCAGGAACCCACACAACTATAGCAGCAGGAATCTGTTCACAAGGGTGGGGCCCTCATGCCCTGATCACCTCTTAGTGGTCCTACCTCTTAACACTGTCACAGTAGCAATTAAACTTTACCCTTAATTTTGGAGATAGCATTCAATCTTCAGCAGTATAGTTAAGTAAAAAAATATATATATCAGAGATGAACAGTGACATATTTATGGGGAAAATGACAGATTCCATGATACACATATATATCATGATGATATATGTGTATAGGTATGATTATATATGCATATATATTTTTTTACTTTAAAATACTTTGGCCAAAGTAAAAAATACTTTGGGAAAAAAAATAGTAGAATATTGATAATGGCTGACACAGGACAGTGGTTTATACGGCAGTACACTAATCTGTTCTTCCTGCTTTGTGTATGTCTGAACAGGACCATTATAAAAAGATAAGAAGAAACCTCAGAGAGATGAGGTTAAAATCAAAATGCCCTTTGAGGAACTCTTGAACAAAAGTATGGCTGATCTAGAAGAGGAAGGAAGAATGAGGGGAGATAAAAGAGCCTGACAAATGGAAGAGCAAGTTGCCCTCCTTGCCGTTTAACTGAGAGCTGCTCCTGCTTCTCATAACCCCTCACGTTCATCTAGAATGAGGCTTTAGTCAAGGCCAGCAGTTTCTAGGATACCACAAGGGACTGTCTGCTTGCCTGGCTCTGTCCTTACGTTCTCTTCTGACTTCTGCTTGTCTCTGCCTCTCCTGGGAGTCACCTTCCTGGCCCTTCTGTCCTTACACAGCCTGGCCCCATCTCAGCCTTTCTGTCCTCCATGACTACCCCCTCCAGCTCCCACCTGATGTCTCAGAGGCAAGGGTAACACACACAACCAGGCTCACCTAGAGAGGAGCTGGCTGAGGAGCCGACACAGCTGGTGTTGGCATCTGATGGACATTCAGTGGCAGTGACGTTTACACAGGTGTTTTCCCATGAATGACACTGCACACAGCTGAGGGATTCTGAGGAGACAAGATGTCCAACATAGGTTAACATTCAGCAGACAGTCATAAAGTGTACTCTGCAAAGCACCACACCCACCTCAAGGTAAAAGACAGGTGGGATGGCATTCCTACCCTCTAGGGGTCCCCAAGATTAATTCTACAATATGGAGCCACCCCTATTAGTCTCTCCCCACTGTTTACCATTCCCCAATGGAAAGATCCAACCCTAACCTACAACTCAGAGATCCAACCCTAACCTACAACACTGACAGCAGGGTACAAAGATAGGTCTGGTGCCTTCCACTGAACACACTTAGTGTATGAGGCCACGTTAACAGTCCCCCTGTTCTTGAAGAACAGTCTTTGAGAGCAAGAAGTTTCTGGTGGGCTCGGCACCCATAGCTAAGTGGTTAAGGCACTGGCCACATACACCAAGGCTGGTGGGTTTGAACCCAGCCTGGGCTTGCCAAAAAACAACAATGACAACTGCAACAACAACAACAAAATAGCTAGGTGTTGTGGTGGGCGCCTGTAGTCCCAGCTACTTGAGAGGCTGAGGCAAGAAAATCACTTAAGCCAAGGAGTTTGAGGTTGCTGTGAGCTCTGATGCCAAAGTACTCTACCGCTGGCAACATAGTGAGACTCAGTCTCAAAAAAAAGAAGTATCTGAGAGGAAATGGGAAATGGGATCTTCAACCAGCATCTCTCACTTCAGCTGCAACAGCAAGTGCCAAGATGATGCCAGCAATGAGGACACCCTTCATGGTGCTGAAGTTGACTGACTCCCCCGAGGATAGGGCCACAGAACCCCAAGCCTAAAAAGACACAAAGAGGGAAGCCCTGGGGTGTTAGAGGGCCGCCTGTCATCCCCAGAGACTTTTATCATACTGCAGCTATCCCAGAATACAGTCTATCCTCGTGACAGAGAGAATCAAAATCCTAAACCAGGAGCACAAAACTGGGACACAGATCCCACCCTGCCTTAACAGAGGTCCAAGTTTTTCTAATCTCAAATGCCTTCAGAAGTGTCTACAGGTATGAAGCACATATGGCATCTACATACATGCATATTTCTATGGATATGAAACAGAGTTAGGACATTTCCTATGGAGCTGCTTCTGGTGCCAGATGGGCAGGCAGGCCAATTTCCAGTTGCATTGCTGATGAAGTCCAAGCAGAAAGAGCTAGGCTGGTGTTCCTGTCCTCCTCTCTCTCTCAGAGCTCAATGCCTTCCTGAACTCTTCCCCCTGTCCCATCCTGCCACCCTTTGGAAAAATTGTCTTCCATGAGACTGGTCCCTGGTGCCAAAATGTTCTGGTGCATGGCTTGTTAGGAAGCAGACCACACAGCAGGAGGTCAGCACCGGCAAGCAAACGAAGTTTCCTTGATTCACAGACACTCCCCATTACCTGTGTCACTTGTCCCCATTACTTGCTAAGCCCCACCTTCTGTCTTATCCTCTTCCTTTCCACCTCCTGAACACTTCTCACCTCCCCTCCAGGTAACCAGCCCCCGGTGCCAGAAAGGTTGACATAGCTCCAGCTGTTATCTCACTACATTCACATTTTACACTCAGGGTTTTGTTCCTGCCACCACAGTAAACACTTGCTAAGCAGTCACTACAGTGCAAGCACTTAACAGATAGCAACTTAGGTAGTGCAGATGCTACTGTTAACACCACAGGGAAGATCGGAGGCAGAGCAAGATGGCGGAGGGGATGCATCCCTGAGTCAACTCTCCTGGTGGTTTCAGGTGAGTGTAGGGGAGGCTGGATCTTTCCCGTGTGGAGTGCTGGCACAGACAAGCAGCCAGGGCGTGCAGCAAGGAGGTGAATTGCTGGATTGGAACTGTAGCCCAGAACTACAGTGTCTGCCAGAAAAAACTCAGGGCAGAAGCTGAAACGGGGCCAGCTGTAACCTGCAGCAGCAACGACCAGCAGTGCCAGGTCCGTGGCTGGCACCCTGAGAGGCAGAAACCAATCCCTTCCCCATGAAGGACTTCTGTGCCCAATTTGTGGGGAGTTTGTGTGTTTTTGTGGACAGTGTGGTGAGGCACAGATTCCTGAGTGGAATTTGGCAGCCAGAAATGGGAGCCATCTGGACCCGGCTTGGGGCATCAGGGATCCAGGCATTCGGAAAGAAACTTGAGGGGAAGGGACTCTGCTTAGGAACCGATCCATCCTGTAATTTTGGAAGTCTGTGTGGAGCTGCACTGACCCAGCAACCCACATGGGGAATCGGTTCCCTTCTTCAAACGCTGAAAAATCTTTTGTGCACACTGCTGTGGTGGCAGGAACTAGAAGTAACCAGCCCCTCCCCCATCAGAAACAAACTTAGTGCAGAGCGTGCCAAAAGGCACGCAGCTCTTTTCCCTTGGACCGCAACAATTTTCTGTTCGAGGGAAAACTAGGAGTTGAGTGGAAAATCTGGCGAAGTGTGGACTCGTGTGCCAAGTTTGGAGGACAGATAGGAGTGGGCGGCCAGCCAGGAATCAGATGTAATGTAAAACTACAAAAATGGCGTCTCCATAACACCTCTCCCAGGAGCACAGAGAACTCAATCTGACCTTCAGCAAGCCATCTGGCATCTGAAGCTAATCCAAGATGCCCAACACTTTGCAGGAACTGTTGTAGGGAGAATCTGTGCAACCTGCCAGCAAAGATTCTCTTTCTTTTCTTTTCTTTTTTCTTTTTTTTTTTCTTTTTGGTTTTAGCACAGGGACCACTTGCAGCGCCACCTACTGTCTAGAAAGTATATTGCAGCATAGTTATATTTCCTTTAAACTGGAACCCCACCGCATCTATAATGGGGTTTGTTGTATATATTCAAAAGAACAGTATTTTTCTTAGTGGTGCCCTTCTTTTCTTTTTTTTTTTTATTTTTTTATGTTATTTCTTCTGTTTGTTTTGCTATTTGTTTTCTCTATCATTTTATGACCAACATTTTTGTGGTTATCTTTTATTATTACTAACTTTTTTTTTTT